AAAACATTCATTGAAGAGTTTGGTTTGTCTTTGTGGCAACATGCGATTCCACTTAAAACCACAGACAAGGTCATGCTCTTTCTGGTTTTCTCTTTTTAACTTCTCCAATGTGACCTGGAGCTAAGTACGACATGTTAATTTGAACAATGTTGTAGTCATCTGAAGTCTTTTAGGAATGTGACTCGACCAACACTGATTATTGTCAAGACTAGTGTTTATTATATGGTTAGCACCGTGAGCTGGCAAGATGAATCAAATCCTGCGTTGTGATTGACTACCCGTGTGGGCAAGATGGAGCTATCTTGCCCGCTCGGGACTACCCGGAGCGTCCTGCAAAAAAATTTCCCCAAAAGCCATATAATAAATCCTTTATTGACCAAGCTTGTACGGTCAAGATGGCTGGATATTGGCCTCGGTCTTTTTTTGTGAGTTTATGGACCAAGACGGAGTCGAGGTCCATAAACTCGCAAAAAAAAGAACTTGGCCAATATCCAGCCATCTTGACCTCACACTTGGCCAATAACCCATATATATCGCGAGGGGACTCCCATATCAAAAGGGCAGGAGTGCTTTTTGCACCTTTTAGGGGTAAAAACATGGTTTTGGTAACTCTTAGGATGTTCAGCCTTAAAAGGCCCACAGTGGGAGCTTTTGCGGCACCTTTTAGTTCCAAAAAAATATGACAGAATATATCTAACAATCAACATTACAAGTACAGGGGTTGTAGAAGGTATTTGAAGGAATCGTCTTCATTGCTTGTAAAAATTATGAAAGTGTCAGTTATTGTGTGGTTTTAGAATTGGTACCTCTTAAGGGTGAAAAGCTGTAAGCTTTCAAGCTGTACACGCAAAACGGGATCTTGGTACCACTTAGGGGTGCTTTGCAAAATTTCTAATGAGCACCACCATCCTTTTTATGTGGGAGTCCCCCTGGATTTATATGTAACAAATCACCAAAAATAGAGTGACCTAACCCTTCTATTATTGACTAAAAATATTTCTATCTCATCTTGTCCTAGCAGGAGAACAAGTATCAACTAATTTTTATAGTAATTAGGACAACAGAATTTTTTTCCTAATTAAATCAGATCCTAAATTCTGATAACCTGATACTTTGAGGAAAAATTAGGTGCTGATCACTGCTGGTGCTGAAGACAATAAGGAACCTGATAAACAAGTTATTCTGGTTCTACAAGTTCATCATGATCAATAATATTATTATCACAATATGATAAATACACTGACCTATGTTTTAATACTAATTTCAACATTGAGAATTATTAGAAATTCCATGTATGAGTTAAAAGGCAAATTACACCTCTACAAATGTATGCATAGTGATAATACTAAATTCAAAATGTTTATATACACACAATACAATGGTAATATGCGACAAATAATTTTACTTCTAACAGCTTTATACTTTTAAATGGTATTGAAATTGTACCAACTTTGCTCAAATGTCAACTTGACAGCCAATATTATTAGGACAATGACGGATTCACAGAGAATCTATAAGATGTAGCAGACACCATAAAGATGTCAAGAATAATGTTATCTAAGCCATTAGCATAGCAATTACTAAGTGCGCATGTGAAATGTTCTCCAGTGAGCTTTGCTGCAATCTGTTATATTCTAAATTTACTCTATACATATATTAATAATTGTGTTACATTATAAACAGTGGTGCACAATTCGCAAAGATCTATTCCTAATGTATATATAATATTATATAATTATGTGTCACATTTTATAAGCAAACACGACCAATATACCATTCTCTACCAAACTTGTTCGATATCTTTCAATTCATTTTCCATCTCTCAATATAATACTTTGCATAGTAACCTCTCAATTCTGTCCATTACACTCTGCTTCATACTGCCAACCTTTGTAGAGTAGAAGTATGTTGTACAAGGGTATTTCAGTGTCTCAACGATGAGCTCAGTCTGCATCATCATTATTAAATAAATCGTCTGGTGGAACAACATCAGTTGCGATTGGTGCAGTTACTACTGGTGGTCTATCGTTTTGCAAAGTTGGATCTGC